AGCAGCAGCAGCAGCAGCAGCAGCGGAGAGGAGGTAATTGACCCCGCTGTGGTGGCTGCAGCAAAGAAGGCGCAGCAGGCGCTGCAGCAAGAGGGGCAGCAGCTGCGAGACGTCTGCCTGATTAGCTGCAAGCCATCTCTTTGCGGTGAGCGAAATTTGCTGCTGTTGCTGGTGCTGCTGCTGTGCTTGCTGGCTGCTGCTGCTGCTTCTGCTGTTGCTGCTGCTGCTGCACTGAACATGTGCCGTCCACTCCTGCTGCCGATTCGTGTGTTGCTGGTTGCTGCTGCCTGGCTGCAGCCTCGTCCCGCCTGTCCACACCCAGCAGCAGCAGCAGCAGCAGCAGCAGCAGCGGGGGTTGCGGGGCGTCGCGGTACTTCGCGCGGAGCAGCAGCGAGCTGCAGCGGGTGCATGCAGCAGCAGCGCAGCAGAGTCTGCTGCTGTGGGGCTACGTGAGACAAGCAGCAAACTTCGGAGTCTTTGTTTGTCTTGGGGCTTTGCATGCACAAGCTGTTTGTCCTTTCCGCCACTTAGCAGCAGACTTTGTGCCTTCGCAGCAGCAGCTGGCGCTGCGGCTGCCTGCGGGGCTGACGGTCAAGGCCGTCTTGCTGCCGCAGCAGCAGCAGCAGCAGCAGCTGCAGCAGCACATCGTCGAGCTCCGCCCGCAGAAAGTCAACAAAGTCGCCAGGCTGCAGCAAGACGAAGCAGCTCTTGCGGCGCTCGCGCTGCCCACGATGCAGGGAATGCTGCAGCAGCGTGCAGCAGCAGCAGCAGCAGCAGCAGCAGCAGTTGAGGAGGCCCCGTGCGTCTGCAGCAGCGCGCTGCGCGCCGGCCGTCTGCTGCGCTGCAGCGTCGAAGCAGCAGCAGCAACAGGGGCCCTCTGCCGTGTTTCTGGCTGCTGCTGTGGGGCTGCATGCGTTTCTGTGTGGGTTCCCCCGGCTTTCCTCCCCGTAGACCTCCAGGAGCAGCAGCAGCAGCAGCAGCAGGAGTATGATTGTCTTGTGGTGGCGGCGGACAGCTGCAGCAAACGCGCCTTCGGCTGCTGCTGCCCAGAGCTGCTGCGGCCGTTCTTGCTGCTGCGGGAAGCCGTGCAGCAGCACGGCAGCAAGCTGCTGCAGTGCAGCGTAGGCGCTGCTGCTGCTGCTGGCGCTGAAGACGATGAACAGCAACAGCAGCAGCAGCAGCAAGAAATAACTGTGCGTCTTCAAAAGAAAGGCAAGAAGAAGCAGCAGCAAAACGGGGAAACCGAAGAAGCAGTTTGGCAGTGGCAGACAGAGAGCCTCCCCCCCGCGCTGCTGCAGCTGCTGGAGGAAAGACTGCTGCAGCAGCAGCAGCAGCAGCAGCAGGTGCGGACGGGGTACCTGGCAGCAGACATGGGTCTGCTTGCAGTTGCTGCAGTTGCTTCTGAAGAGGTGCAGCTGCGGCTTCCTGCTGCTGCTGCTGCGCTTTCTTTGTCATTTCCTCTTTTCCTGCTGACCATCTCGCCCATCAGCAACAACGAGCAGCAGCAGCAGCAGCAGCAGCAGGGGGGGCCCCCCTGCGTGTCTGCTGCTCCAGAGCTTGTGGGGTGCCCCCTTGACCTCTGGGGGCCCCTAGCCCGCGCAGCAGCAACAGCAGGGGGCGCTGCTGCGGGGTCGGGGCCGCTGCTGCAGCAGATCGAGCAGCAGCAGCTCCTGCTGCAGCCCCTTGTCCAGACTCCGCAAACTGCAGCAGACTTCCAGGTGGGAAGTGTTATTTGCTGCCAAGTTTTAAAAGTAAATGCAGCAGCAGCAGTTGCTGCTCTTACCACCCCACACCTGCACGCCACGGTGTACATACACCCCAGCGACGCGCTGCCCCCTCTCACTGGCGCCCCACAAGACCAGCAGCAGCAGCAGCAGCAGCAGCAGGGGCTGTGGGCCCCTGCACCGCTGTCAGAGCGCGCAGTGCTGCCGGAGTCGCCGTTGCTTTTGCTGCGGCCGAAGCAGCAGCTCTACGTGGTGGTTTTGGCTGTCCACCGCAGCAGCAGCAGCAGCAGCAGCAGCAGCGAAGACGAGGAAGCTGATGAGGGCCTCATGGCCTCGCTCAGAAGTCCCCAGAAGGAGAAAATTATTATTAACGGGGGCCTGTTTCAGCTGCCAGCTGCAGCAGCAGCAGCAGCAGCCAAGACGTCTTCGAAGCAGAAGAAAAAGCAGCAGCAGCAGCAGCAGCAGCAGCAGCAGCCATGTGAAGCAGAGTGGGGCGTTGTGGAGAGGGCGCTGGCAGGCCACATTTTTGTGAGCTGCGGGTGGAGCAGTCGCAAGGGCCAAGAGGAGCAGCAGCAGCAGCAGCAGCAGCTGCTGCTGCAGCAGCAGCAGCAGCACCCTAGACGGCGAGGCTGCATCTGCCAGCTAGATGCCACTTCGGACCGCCAAGGTCTCAAGCTGCTGCAGTCTATTTTCAAAGAAGGTTCAATGCTGCTGCTGCGGCAGCTGCCGCTGCTGCGGTGTACAGACACCGCGCTTGCTGCTGCAGCAGCAGATGCAGCGCCGCCAGCAGCAACGGGAGACGTCCGCCGCTTCCTCGTCGTCGGCCCTTGCTTCACCCCCGAGCAGCAGCAGCAGCTGCTGCTGCAGCGACAGCAGCAGCAGCAGCGCCACAAATACCAGCAGCAGCAGCAGCAGCAGCACAAGGGGAGGCAGCAATTCCCCCCCTCTTCGCTGCAGCAATCCATTTTGCTGTCGCCACAAATGACTCCTGCTGCCTGGGCCGCGGTGCCACCAGAGATCGAGACCGTAAGCTTCATCTCAGCAGCAGCAGCAGCAGCAGCAGCAGGAACAGCAGCGTCGCAGTCCTGCAGTTTCCGGCGTAGTAGCCGCTGCAGCAGCTTCTGCTGCTGCTGCAGCAAGACGAGGACTCCGCTGGAGCTCAAGCAGAGCGTCTGCTGACCAGTAGCCCCGGCAGTTAGGACTGCTGCTGCTGCTGCTGCAGCTGCTGCTGCTGCTGCTGCGCTGCGCGTGTGTCTCAGGGCGTTTTCGATTCCATCAAGGAAGTGCTGCAGGCAGTGCAGCAGTGGCGCTTTCCTGCAGGCCTTTGCTGCGTGGGGCTGGTGCAGCAGCTGCTGCGGCCGCCGTTTGGGGTGTCTGTACAGCTGACGCAGCTGCTGCTGCTGTCGCAGCAGCAGACGCTGGCGCTGCGGCTGCCTCTCCGGGTGTCTGTACACCTAACGGAGCTGACTGACACCTGGATTGCGCAGCCGCTGCAGCAGCTGCAGCTCGCTGTGGGGCAGCTGGTCAAGGTCAAGCTGCTGCCCCAGCTGCCGCAGCACCAGCTGCAGCAGCAGCAGCAGCAGCAGCACGGGGTCCTCCAGGCCACCATGAGGCAGCGAGCCATTGCAGCGCCTGCAGACGCACAAGAGCAGCAGCAAACGAGCTCCGACAGACCGGAAACGATAGAAGAAATCCAGGTTAGCACAAGCACTGCAGCAGCAGCAGCAGCAGCAAGAGCAGCAAGAGCAGCAGCAGCAGCAGCGGGAGCGTCCAGCTGTCAATGCGTCCCTGTATGGTGATATGTCCTACGCCTTGGTTGTGTCTGCATATGCGTTTGTCTTGCTGCTGCTGCTGTTGCTGCTGCTGCTGTTGCTGCTGCTGCTGCAGAGAGGAGCCAGCTTTCCGGGGCTGGTGGTGTCTAGCGGGAGTTCGGGTGTCTTCGCAGCTCTGAGCCGCAACCTGACAGTGCGGCTGCGGCTGCAGCACCTGGGTGCTGCTGCAGCGCAGCAGCAGCAGCAGCAGCAGCAGCAGGACGGCAAGAGCGGCCTGTTGAGCGTGGAGGAGATAAGAAGCAAATTCCCTCCTTGCTCTTTGCTGCAGCACATTTACATAACTGCTGTTGACTACACAACGCGCAGAATTGAGGGCTCTCTGAGCCCCCCAGCAGCAGCAGCAGCAGCAAAAGGGAAGCAGCGGAAGCGAATGCTGCTGCTGGACCGCTTCCAAGGAGCCCGCGACGCCGCCGCCAGCAGCAGCAGCAGCAGCAGCAGCAGCAGCGACCTGGAGCCGCTTCGCGTGCTGCTGCTGCAGTGTCTCCGGAAAGGACTTGTTCTTGAAGGAAAAGTTCGCGGAAAGGAACCTTATGGGGTTTTTGTGAGATTGTCTCTTTTTGAAGAAGACACAGATGCTGAGGGTCCCGCGCTGGCCTTCCTGCAGCAGCAGCTGCAGCAGCAGCAGCAGCAGGAGGGGGAGGGCGGGGAGGAGCAGCCTTCGAAGAAGCGGAAGACGGGCAAGAAGGCGGCAGCAGCAGCAGCAGCAGCAGCTGCTGCTGCTGCTGCTGCTGCACTGCAGCAGCTGCGGGGCCTGCGGCTTGTTGCTGTTGACGCCCTCTGCCCCATTTCGCGCCTGGGAGCAGCAGACACAAAAGAAAGAAACAGAAGGCTGCAGCTGCTGCAGCAAGGAGACCTTGTGCAGGCGCGAGTTGTTGCAGTGCAACACATCACCTGCGAGTCTAGTCCTGCTGCTGCTGCTGCAGACGCAGCAGCAGATGCAGCAGCAGGCAGCAGCAGGAAGTGGCCCTCCGTCAGAGTGGAGATCTCGCTCGACCCTGCAGAGCTTCCCCAAATAGAGGAGCCGCAGCAGCAGCAAGAAGACGCAGCAGCAGCAGCAGCAGCAGCAACAGCAGCGCCAACAACACCACAACCAGCAGCAGCACCAGCAGCAGCACAGGCGGAGAAACAAGCAGCAGCAGCAGCAGCAGCTGACGAGGAAGCAGATACGGCAGCAACAGGCGCGAGCAGCGACAGCGAAGAAGAAGAGCTGCTGCAGCAGCAGCAGCAGGAACAAGAGACAGTGTGGGGCTGGGAGGAGACTGCTGCAGCCGATCCCCTGCAGCAAGAAAGCAGCTCTGACGAGGAGGAGACGGAGACAGCAGCAGCAGCAGCAGCAGCAGCAGAAAAGAAAAGCAAAAGAGAGAAACAAAGAAAGCGCGTAAGCAGCACCCCAGCAGCAGGTTGTCCTTTTTAGACCCCCGCTCGCCGGCAGCCTTTGAAGTTGCTGCTGCTGCTGCTGCTGTTGCTGCTGCAGCGGGAGATCCAGGAAAACATAGAAGCTTTGGAGGAGCAGCAGCAGCAGCAGCAATGGGCAGAAGAGCCCAAAAGCGAAGCAGACTTTGAGCGTTTGCTGCTGACCCACGGCAACGCCGCTGCTGTTTGGATCAGGTACTTGCTGCTGCTGCTGCTGCTGCTGCTGCTGATAGAGCTGCTGCTGCGGACTCTACTGCATCTGCTCATTCTATTGCTGCTGCTAATTCAGCTTCCGGCGCTCACTCAGCTGCTGCTACTGGTTTTCCTGCTGCAGCAGCTGCTGCTGCTCTGCTTTTTGCCGCTACCGCCGCCCACTCTCTGCTGCTGCTGCTGTTGCTGCTGCTGCTGCTGCAGCTACATGGCGTTCTGGTTGCAGCTGCAGGAGCCGCAAAAGGCGCGGAAAGTGGCAGAAAGAGCAGTGCAGCAAATGGTGTTCAGCAGCGAAGCAGAAAGAGTTGCTGTTTGGATGGCCTTTTTGAACTTGGAGTGCAACTACGCAGGAAACTTCCAGCAGGTCTTCCGCAGGTCTGTGCTGCTGCTGCTGCTGTTGCTGCTGCTGCTGCCGCTGCTGTTGCTGTTACTGCTGCTGCAGAGGCGGCTGCCTGAAAACCTGCTGTTACTGCTGCTGCTGCTGCTGCTGCTAAGGGTGCCGACAAGGCTGCTGCTGCTACTGCGGTAGCTTCGCAAAGTGGCTGCTCTATGTGCTGCTAGCTGTGCTGCTGCTGCTGCTGTTGCTGCTGCAGGGCTCTACAGCACTTGGATGCGAAGCAAGTTTATTATCAAACAACTTTTGTGTTGGAGAAATCCAAGAAAATCGAAGAAGCCATTCGAGTTGCTGCTGAGGGCTGCAGCAAGTACCCACAGTCCTGCAAGGTGAGCAGCAGCAGCAGCAGCAACAGCAGCAGCAGCAGCAGCAGCAGGTGCTGCAGCTGGATTTGCTGCCTGAGCGGCGCTGCTTCGCCCACCCCGCAGGCCTGGCAGCAAACAAACATGCCACTGCATGCGCATGCACTTTCTTGCAGCACTTTGAAATAAATAAATAAAAGTGCTTTTTGACATTTATAGATAAAAAAATAATAATAAATAAAAAGCTTTTGTTCTGTTTATAAGTAAATAAATAAAGGTGTTTTTTTCCGTTTATAAATATGCCTTTATTTATTTTTGTTAGTCAAAAGGCCACTCTCATTTGCAGTGCATTTAAACATGTGTGGGGTGTCTGCATGCGTTGTGGGGTGCCTGCATGCATGCAGTGTGGGTGCATGCATGCATGCAATGTGGGTTGCATGCATGCATGCAGTGCAATCTGCATGCATGCATGCATTTTGGGGTGTCTACAATAGAAACATGTGTTGTGGGGTGTCTGCAATGCATGCATGCGCTGTGAGGCGCATGCATGCATGCATGCATGCAGAGTGTCTGCAATGCACGCATGCATTGTGGGGTGCATGCATGCATGGATGCATGCGTTGTGATATGCATGCATGCATGCATGCATGCACGGATGCATACGTTGTGGGCTGCATGCGTGCATGCATGCATGCATGCATGCACGGGCTGTGGGGCGTGCATGCAGCTGTGGCTGCGTCTGGTGTCTCTACACTTCGGGGTGTCTGCAAACCCGGAAGGCGCTCGCGAGGAAATGACAAAAGGATTAAAAAAACTTCCAAAAAGAAAACAAATTAAATTCGTGTGTGCATGCGCTCGCCTCGAATACAAACTCGGAGACCCCAAACGGTGAGCCCCCTTGCTGCGCTGCAGCGGCAGCAGCAGCAGCAGCAGCAGCAGATTCTGCAGCAAGACCGACTTCTAGGTTGCTGTTTTGAATTTCACTTCTGTGTGAGGTGCAAATGAAATGAATTTAATTTAAATTGATTCAATTTAAATTGATTTAATTAAAGTTAATTCATATTCAAGTGCACTGCTGTGTAGCTACAGTTGCGTATCCACTTCGCGCCGTCTGCTGCAGCAGCAGCAGCAGCAGCAGAACAAACCATTTGCTGCTGTTGCTACTGCAGCAGCAGCAGCACCAGCAGCCGCGGCGGCTGCACCTGCTGCCGCTTCGAACAAGCCACTGCTGCTGGTGCTGCATTTGCCGGTATAAACCAGCCAGCAAAAATCCCCCGCTGCTGCTGCCGCTGCCGCTGCTGCTGCTGCTGCTGCTGCTGCTGCTTTCAGGGGCCAGCTGTACTTCGAAAAGCTGCTGTACGAACACCCGAAAGACGTCGGGATTTGGCATTTGTACATCGCGCAGCAGCTGTCGCTGGCGACTCGGGATCGGGATCGGAGTTGTGGGGTGGGGGATCGGGATCGGGATCGGAGCTGTGGGGCCGGGGATCGGGATCGGGGGATCGACTTGGGGCCCGTCAGGGGCCTCTTCCAGCGAGCCACGCAGCTGCCGCTGAAGCCTCGCAAGATGAAGCCGCTGTTTGCTGCTTGGCTAGCTGCTGAAAAGAAGTTCGGCAGCAGCAGCAGCCAGCAGCAAGTGCAGCAGCTAGCCAGGGACTACGTCGCAAAGGTCGAGGCCCAAATGCTCGACAGGCAGCCCGACAGCTAGCTAGCTAGCTAGCTAGCTGGGTGGCTAGCTAGCTAGCTAGCTAGCTAGCTAGCTAGCTGGGTGGCTAGGTAGCTGGGCGGCTAGCTGGAGAGTGAGCCAGCTGGCTGGCTGGCTAGGTGGCTGGAGAGCTGGCCAGGCTAAGCAGATAGCAAGGCAGCCAGCTAGCTAGCTGGCTAGCTAGCTGGCTAGCTAGCTAGCTGAACGGCTAGCTGGGCAGCTAGCTGGCTAGCTAGGCCTTGGGGGCAGGCAAGCTGGCTTGTGTGATGCGGCGCGGGCCGTCACTCCGCTTCTCTCTTCCAACACAATGTAGAGCTAGCTAGCCAGCTAGCTATCTTGCTAGCCATCTAGCCAGCTAGCTAGCTAGCCAGCTAGCTAGCTAGCTAGCTAGCTAGCTATTTAGCTAGCTGTTTATTATTTGTTACTTTGAGATACTGATTTCAACATTAGAGGTGGCTTTTGTGCGGCAATGCGGGGACGGCTGACGGCCTGACTGTAGCTAGCTAGCTAGCTAGCTACCTGGCCAGCTAGCTAGCTAGCTAGCAGCACCTAGATTTGCCAGCTAGCTAGCTAGCTAGCTAGCTGGTGGCTCGCTAGCTGCGGGGAAGCAGCAGAAAAGAGGCAGCAAAAGATAATAAATCAAATTACTTGAAAGGACACAAAAGAACAAAGCAGACGAGCTCGCGCGCGTGCGAAACCTCGAAAAGTGGGGAGGTGCAGCTGCACGTGCTGCTGCTGCTGCTGCTGCTGCTGCTGCAGCGCAGCAGCAACAAAACCCCCGGATGAGGAAACAAACCAGCAAATTACTTAGTCCATAATTCATGCAGAACCAAAAACAAAGAAAAAGCGACGGCGCGAGCAAATAAGAAGGCACAGAGAGCGATTGCTGATGCTGCTGCTGCGGCTGCGGCTGCTGCTGTCTTGAGTTTGTTATGCTTTATAAATATATAACTTAATTATTTTAACTAAATCCATTTTCACAAAACCACAAGCTAGGGGAAATTCGAAACGGCTAGAGGTGCATGCGTTTGAGGTGTCTGTACACCTCAAAGGCAGCGCGAGGCGTTGTGCACAAAATACAGCGCCCCTAAAGTCTTTGTTTTTGCTGCTGCTGCTGCTGCTAGTGCTGCTGCTGCTGCTAGTGCTGCTGCTGCTGCTGCAGCGACAGTTTTCAAATCTTCCTCAGCCAGCGCATGCATTTGATTGGCGCCTTGCCCTTTGGGTGGAAAGTCCACTGAAGCACAGAAGCAGCAGCAGCAGCAGCAGCGCCTATCGCTTCAGCAGCAGCAGCAGCGTCTGTCGCATCAGCAGCAGCAGCAGCGTCTATCGCATCAGCAGCAGCAGCAGCGTCTGTCGCGGCAGCAGCAGCTGCAGCAGCAGCGCCTATCGCAGCAGCAGCAGCAGCAGCGTCCATCGCAGCAGCAGCAGGAGGACGCGAGAGTTGCTGCAGCCGGGCAGCAGCAGCAGCAGCAGCAGCAGCAGCAGCAGCAGCAGCAACTGACGACGAAGAGCATGACGGGCCCCTCGAGTTTGCTGCCTTCGAGAGGGTCAGCAGCAAAAACGCAACGCGAGTCAAACATAACTCCCAGGGGGCCCCACCGCCGCTGCAGCGCGCGGCCCCGCAGCCACACGCAGCGGCAGGCCCAGTTCCCCGTGTCCGAGTCCTGCAGCAGCAGCAGCAGCAGCAGCAGCAGCAGTAGCAGCGGCACGTGGGTGGTGGCGGGGTTAGTGAGAGTCGCAAATTAGGGGGCTGGGGAGGCCAAGGAATAATACTGTGCAAAGCACTAGAAGCTGCAGCTGCCGCTGCAGCTTCTAGTGCTGAAGCTGCAGCGGCAGCTGCAGCAGCTGCAGCAGCTGCAGCAGCTGCAGCAGCTGCAGCAGCTGCAGCAGCTGCAGCAGCTGCAGCAGCTGCAGCAGCTGCAGCAGTGGGTCCTCGGTAGGGAATTTGAGTGGGGCCGTTTCCCTTTCAATGATTTAAACTCTACGCCTTAGCGTTCAGGGTTTAGGGCCCACTAGGGTCTGCGTCTGCTAGGGTTTAGTGTTTAGTGTTTTGTGTTTAGGGTTTAGGGTTTAGGGTTTAGGGTTTAGGGTTTATACTTGGACTTCGGTGCAGCTTCCGTCGAAGCAGAAAGTTCCCTGTTTGGTGTTTTTGAGGGGCAAATGTGTGGTGAGTTCAAAAGTGGGAGTTGCTGCAACAGCTGCTGCGATCTGGCTGCTGCTGCCCTCGCCGCCGCTGCTGCTGCTGCTGTCGCTGCTGCTGCTGCTGCTGCTGCTGAGGATCTGAATGTCCGTCACGCTCGCGTAGTTCGCCATCACTTTCCGCTTCAACAAACTTATCCCAAGAGCCCCCAGCAGCTCTTCCACGCTGTCGCTGCGGCCCCCCAGCAGCAGCTGCCAGCTGCCTTTGAAGGCGTTAGGGTCGGTGCAGCAGCTGCGCCGGTAGCACTCAGGGATGTCGCCTGCAGCAGCAGCAGCAGCAGCAGCAGGAGCAGCAGCAGCAGCGGTAGCTCGGGGCAGACGAGCGGGTGGAGGAGAGGTAGAGGCAAATCAGTACTTTTAGTAAGGCACAAATGTGGAAACAAAGGGGAAGCAGTGCAGCGACACGCTGGAGCTGCTGCTGCTGCTGCAGCTGCCGCTGCTGCTGCTGCTGCTGCTGCTGCTGCTGCAAGCTGGAGGCAAGGCGCACCTTCTGCGAAGTTTTCGACATAGTCGGAAGGCGTCAAAGGCTCAATCAAAAGCAAACAAACCCCTGGAGAGGCTGGAGAGGTCGTCGCTGAGGTCTCGGCGTCTTCCATAGCCTTGTTTGCAAGGGCAGTTTGTTCCTGAACACAACCGGAGCTGCAGATATACTTGAAATTCGCGCGGAAAGCTCCAATAAGAGCAAGGAATACTCATAAAATTGGATTTATTGTTTCATTTTATTTGATGTTTGCTGAGAAATTTTGAAAAAGAAGGAAGTTTCCCAGCAGCAGCGTCTGCTCACCTCCGCCGTGCGCGTTGCTGCCTTTTCCATTTTGCCGGGCGCAGAGAGAGGAACTCGCAGCAAACTGAAGATAAAAGGAGTTTAGTTTGTTTGGATTTGCAAATGGACTTCAAAAAACTTTAAATTTCTTTCTTTTTGCAGCTGCAAAGACTGACAGCAGTCAGGTTTCCGCTGCAGCCGCCGTGAGACGCTGCGGCCGTCCGCTGGGTGACCGCGGCGGTCAGCAGCAGCTTTCTGCAATCTATTTGCCGAAATGTTTCTTTTTTCGAATTGTTTGTCTTTTAAAATTAACTGCAAATGCATTTAGCTCAATTTAGCTGCAACTGGCTCCATTTTTACCCCGGGAGCACCGCATTGCGGGCGGGCGAGTGGGCCACTGCCGAGTGCCGCTGTTTCTTTCTCTCCTTTTGCCTTTCAAACGTCAAATACAAACAAGGAATGAAATAAAACAAATTAAAACGAATTAAAAATGAATTAAAGTAAATTTAAACAAATTTAAAAACAATGTGAAGTCCTTTTCAAAGGCTCCGCAGCTCGACTGCAGCACAGTCGCCGCCGTGCTCAAGCAAAGTGACTTTCTGGGTTTTTACCCCCACCAGATCCACTTCTTGCAATTCAAATTTCATTTTAATTCCTTTTTAAAATATTTATTTATCATTTATTTATTTGCTGCTGCTGCTGCGCTGCAGCAGCAAGTAAATCTTCTCCATTTAGCGGACTTTCGAGAAATTCAGAAATCCAGATTTGGGCGAATGCAAATCTGAACTTGAATTCAAGTGCCAGCTTCAATGCAACTATAAACATAAATTATTTAATTTAATCTAAATTGAATTAATTAAACTAAATAAATATAAATACAAATATAAATATAAATATAAATACAAATATAAATATGAATATAAATATAAGTTATAAATGAGAAAATGTACAAATATAAAGAGGAATGCAAATGTGCAAAAAGACACTTCAGTCAGACAGCCAGAGTGTGCAGGGAGAAAAATAAAAAATAAAATGAAATAAATAAATAAATAATAATCTAAATGTTTAAAATAATTTAAAGAATAAACGAATTAAAACAATAAATAAATAATAAATAAATAATAAATAATAAATAAATAATAAATAATTAATAAATTAAATGTTTACAACAATTAAATTAAAGCGAAGAAAGTCCTAATGAGTTCTTTCTGAACAGTTCCAACTATGCGGCCTATTCAGCGCAGCAGCGTCGCCTAAGCTGCTGCTGCTGCTGCTGCTGCTACTAGTGATGCTGCTGCTGCTGCTGCTGTTGCTGCTGCTGTTGCTGCTGCTGTTGCTGCTGCTGCTGCTCTTTTGAAGACCAATTGCGTGCAAGTTGCGGCTCCCGTGTCCCCTTCGCCAAATGGCATTTCGGAACCCATCGGTCTAGCTGCTGCCGCTGCTGCTGCTGCTGCTGCTGCTGCTGCTGCTGCTGCTGCAACAGCGTAGGGGCGGTGACAGCACCAGCAGCGCGAACTGCAGCAAGACCCGAAGGCTCTGTATAACCTGTCGGTCTGGCTGCTCGAGAGAGCATCATATAGGCGCCTCGCCCCTAAACCCTAAACCCTAAACCCTAAACCCTAAACCCTAGATGAACTCCTCGTCTGCCTCGTGATGTGCTGCTTCCTCTTCTTCGCAGAAGTCGACTTTATACCTCAAAATGCCTCCAAGGCCTCCAAAACCCTTTTCAAACTGAGACCCTTCTTGCGACCTGCAAAACCCCCAAACCCTAAACCCTAAACCCTAAACCCTAAACCCTAAACCTTTCCCCAAAACTGGGCCAAATACTGCCCCTACTCTCTCCTACTACTACTACTGCGACCGCTGCTGCTGCTCTGCTGCTGCCGCTGCCGCCGCTGCTGCT